TCACCACACCAGTCAGAGAGCACAGCATCCTCCCTAACCCTTACTGGAGAAGGTCAGAGCCCCGCCTTGAGGATGACTCGTTGGGAGGTGACCAGCACTCCCCTTCACACAACCACGTGCTTGTGTCACAGGCAATCTACAGACAGACTACAGGACAGTTTGCTGTCCTCTGCCTCCTGGCAGCCTCTCACATGGACCAGTAGCCAGGCAGCCAAAACCTTACCATCTAAACTTCACCCATCAGTGCAGGGCAAATAAGATAACATTTTAAAGAGTTAAGAGTGGAAATCGAAACAAGGCTACAAGGTCAGTAAGTCAAGGAGATTTCTGCTTTATTAGAGCAGTTGAAGTTTCTGAAGCCAAACTGGTAAACTGGGCAAAGAATGAAAATAATTGTTGATTTGCCCTCCTTTATGAGAGTGCCTTTTTAATTAATCCAGCAGATCATTAGCTAATATGGTGAATGGAAATCATGCAGTTAAAAACCTTCAGACTGTTTCAGATAATTTTATTTATTAGAAGGAACCGTATCTGTGCAGAAGAGTCTCAAAACATAACACAGCCTAACTCTTCCAGTTCAAAATTCACACTGGAAAATGGTTTCTGCTTTCTAAAAACACTGCATTATCTAACTGTATTTCCATCCTCTAGCTTTCTATAAATACTTTAAGGTGTGGTTAGAAAAGGGTGGCCAAGTTCTTCAAGGATTTTTAGTTTCCATATCCAGCAGCTCAAGGCTCCAGTGTATTTATGTTAGCATTTTCTGGGGAATACACTTCAGTAACTGCTGTGGCAAAGCCCTTGGTGGTCCGCTCCTTGCTGACTCTGACCATTGCCGTTTCAATCATCCGCAAATTACTTCCAGATGGGTATCAGTTACACAGAGATGGAGAATTTTTATAACATTTATAGTGCAAGAATCCTACAGACATATGATAAGTGTGCTATGCAGGGACAGGCACGATGAGGCTGTGGACAGGGGCACTTTGAGCACATATCCCAAAGGGCACATTCTACCCATGGACAAGCTGGAAGCCCTTTGCTTGTACCTGTGAGTAACACTCAGGTAGGATGCTACCTTAAAGATGCAAAACTCAGAGAACACCTGCAAATTTGATACTTCTCAGGGGAGCCACTTCCCACCTGTTCGTATGTCTTCTTCCACCTAGCAATTAGTCTCCCAGACATTTCCTGGTGCCTTCAATAACCCACCATGGCATGGGATGCATCCGTCAAAGCAGCCAGGTCACTCCCCCTTCAGTGATGTAGAAAGCACCTTTGCACTGAGCAGTCAGCTTGTACAAGTCTGGCATGCTGCTTCTTGCACTTTTGTTCGCTGGTGTTCATTTTAGGATTCAGAAAATGATCCTCCAGACTACCAAAGAATTCACTGCATTAAGGAAACGACAACCCCCATTTTAAATGGCTCTGACTGCATTTTTTAATCTCATCCTCTTCGTACAGGCACTGTGTAAGACTCAGCTGCCTACATAATACATCTAATTGCCTCCCATTTACATTCAATTAAATCCTGTGATACTATTTTGCAATATTAATTAACTGCCTTTGCCAGTGGCTAATCTCCCCAAGCATTTGACAAACAACACGGCTAAAGTATGGTAAAAAGAGAAAGGTGTCTAGGACTGCCTCCTGGGTGAATAGCTACTAGAGTCCATGGTGATGTAGGTACTTACTGCATTCCTATTAGTTTGTGGGATTTTCATTTGCTTCAGATGTGCAATTCTTGGGAAAAGTTCTCAATAGAAAAGTCACTTCTAGCACAGATTTCAACACTACTTTGCTTTTTCTTTGGTGTGGAGACTCACACCCAGGTTTCTGTGCTGAAAAAGCAACTTTGCTAGGGCCTGGCAGTCAGAATGTGGATCTGTTCAGCTGTAAATAAGAGACAGAACAAGAGTTTGAAGATCGTCTTAGAGCGGAGAGGGAAAATTGTGGTTGTACAGTGGGAAGTAAAACAGTTTGGGTTTTTCTGTCCACAGTAAGCAGAAATAAAGACCAAATAATTTCTGTATCCTGTCCCATACTGAAAAAGGAACGGGCAGACTGAAGCAAAACCATGTCATGTCTAGAGCTGGTTATTTCTGTTCAGGAAGGAAGCTACTTTTCTTTGAATCTACTTGATTATTTTCCCTCTAAGGAAGAACATGAATTGAAGCAAAGGACTTGTGCATGGATGGTCTTGAAAGAAAAGGAAGAAAACATCCTCATTCAGTGTTGGTAGGTATGGCCAGAGCCTTTGCACTCTCTGCTTCAAATTCAAAGCAGGTGCTGCTGTGAAACATTACCAACAGCTCTCAAGTCTCAGTTAATGGTTTTCAACTGAGAATTACTGTTCACAGGTACTGTCTACCGATGGCTCTGCTCTAACATGTGTTTTCCTGTCTTTCTGCATTCATGATAGCTGTTGAAATGGACAGCGCTTTTCTTTGGTCTGTTTCTGGAGAATCTCCTACCTCTGCAGCTGTAGGAGGTAACTCAAAAATGAAAACTGTATCTATTTTTTTTATTGCACTATGGAATTATGATTGATTTTAGTATGTCTAAACATTTGGCAACTATCATTTTTACCATAAAGTTGTTGGGCTTTGGGGGGGGTGATTTTTTGTTGGTGGTTTGTTGTGGGGTTTTTTTTTTGGTTGGTTGGTTTGGTTGGGTTTTTTTTTCCACCAGAAATTGCTTTAACATTTCAACAAGGATACTAGGCACAATTTAAAGCTTCTGGGTGTTCACTTTAATTCTGAGCTTAATTCTAGCCTATTTTTTCTTGCAAACTGAAATGCTGGAATATAGGGGGACAATGAGAGACACATTGCAAATGGCTCTTAGGCAACAAGCACAATAGATGATGGCTGAAGGCTCTGCCTTTTCTCTTTACCTTCTTTACCTCCTGACACACCCCAGGGTTTATGGAAGTTACACAACATGCACACCCACCAGTTAGGTTTTTATTGCTTAATTACTTATAGGGGAAAAAAAAAAAAAAAAAAAAAGAAGTCTCCCACAGTCATCTCAAGCTGGGAAAAGAGTTGTTTGGGGTTTTTTAACTAACTTTAGGTGTGAAATATGACTATTAAGAATCTCAAAAAAATGAACTACACATAGTTTAACAAAACACACAGGCATACAACAGCATATATTATAAAGCACATAGGGAATGTCGGCCAGTACATACGCTGGGCCAAACAAGCCTTCTCAGGCTTCTAATTTTTCTTTCCTTTTTTTTTTTTTGTTTTTTGTTTTTTTTTTCTTTTTAATTAAATTGACTACTTCTGCCATAGTGCCTTTCTGAAATTGTGTCACTTGCACACACGCATCATCTGAAACGCTGGTAAACCTATTTTCTTTCATAAAGTATTCTTGACTACATTGCAAACTTAAGCAATACTGAAAATCAGAGGGAATAAACCCAAACCTGTTACGCATAAGATACCACAAACTATTCATCTGACACAAATAAGATCAACTGCTTCACAATTTTACGGTGAAAGTCAAAACCACTTAAATAACTAATTTTTCCCTGGTTCTTAACTGTGTAAGTAATGGTAGCTACTACATTATCAGTATATAAGAAAGACCAAAATTGTAAGGAGAGGTAGAACACCTTATTAGACAAACCAGCACAGCTGGGGTGCAAGGAAGAAAAGCAGAGCACCTTTCAGGAATGCAAACTTTTCTTCAGGAGCAAGTGATTCATCTCATATCAAATATCTCAGTACCTTTGTTCCAGGATGGTGTAGTGGTTGAGTTCCTTATAGCAGATACCCAGAGTCAAAAGGTTCTGGGTTTTACCTGCAGTTTTGCTATGGGGTTAATTTATCCTGTTGCCCTCTACAAATGTCTTCCATGCTTTGCTTCAGTCTCTTCATCTGTAAAGTTGGAATAATGCTTCCCTACTTGATAAAGGTTTGTCTCTTTGGGGAAATTAGTTGTTCTTTCCCTAATGTGTATTTATTGAAAAAAAAAAATCTCTCAACAAAGCATTCATAGTTCTAGTCTAGCCAAAGTCGCTAATGAAGATAGCTTTACTTTGTATTTTAAAGGCTCTTCCATGTAGGAAATGCTACTTTGACACTGAAAACACACGAGAAGCAAAGCAAATCGCTGTGGTTTTGTCATATCTATTGATTTTTACTGGAACTTCTCAACGCTTACTGGCAAAGGTTGAACCACTACCCTCTATTCATAGATAAGGAAACCAAGGCACACAGAAGTCTCTTGACATATCAGAGTACCTACTAAAGTAGCAATTGGAAGTCAAAGCCTCGTCCCTGTTCATTGACTCTGAAACGCAGTCTAATTCAGGGCTAAGCTGTGAAAGCGTGCTTCAACTTGGCAAAGGCATCTCAGTGAAGACTTTGGTTCAACAGACCACCAGGCACATGAGCCTTAGCACAGCTCAAGGATTCAGAAATCCAAGTATCACTTTAGTGAAACTTAATAAAAAGCTAAAGAAAAAACAAACAAACAAACAAACCAAGAAAAGAGTGAGGCGAGAGGAAGATGGGAAGTGGAGAATTATTTCTGTCAGGGAAACTAAAACCAAGAAGCCCTGTACCACAGAACTTGAATTTCTGATGTAGGTCAGGATGGGCTTGTGAGCACTGCACCTGCAGCCTAAGGGGGCAATGGGAGCAAGCTGCTCTGTAAATGAAACAACATATATTTTATGGAATTTATACAACAGCTATAGCGTAGCTCCTTCAGAAACTATGGTAATTACACACCTCTTGTGTTATCTTTGGATAACACTGTAATTAGTATGTGTCATCACTCTACCCATGATTAAAATAATTACCATAAAAAGCCCCTTGTAAGTAGCATTTACTGTTCCGGTTTCCAAACATGTACAGGATTATTTTTTTAAAGCATAATTGCTTTCTCTGTTCACAGCTCAACTCAACACTATTTCCCCACCCACCTTCCACTTCACACAGCCATCTGATGTTGTAGCAAAACCTGAACATGTGTGAAATACTTACAGCTCTTCCAAGTAGGGAAAGTTCTTGAATGCATCCTCCGGTAGCCTTGTGATGTTATTCATGCTGATATCTCTGGAGAAGAAAAGCAGACAGATTTATCAATAAACAGGAAAGGATTTTTACACTCCAGCAAAAGGAGGAGAAAAAGAAAGCTTAGGCAGATTGCATGACAACAACAACAAAAAAAAAAATAAATTCCAGCATCACACAGTAAGTAGTATCTCTTTCTAGTAATTTGCATCCCGAACTTTCCAAGCACAGTAATTTGAGAATCCAGCTGCAGCAAAGACCTATATAATGGAAAGCTGATAAAAGAGTTCTCTGACACCTCTAAGCAACAAAAAATTCCTGTGAAACTACAGGGTATGCATGGATGGAAGAGGCTCTACAGCACTCTTATCCCCAGTACTGATTTTTACCAACTTACATATGTACACGATTTTGAACCCAGATGATTAAGACCACTCTACAACCACATCATATGAAAACAATAATAATAAAAAAGACTGTGACCACCCACCATGCAAATTTTCATCCCACAGTGTCTTAAAAAAAATTAAGAAAAATATGCATTGGGACTTAATAAATAGCTTCTGGCAAACAGGGCTTCTGGAACAACTGACAAGAATAGCAGAAACATGTCCTAGCTCTACCACAGTCATTTTCCTTCTACAAAACTTATAGAAGTCCCTGAGGTAATAGTTTTAAGCAGATTTCATTCTCAGTCCGTGAGCAGAGACAGGCCGGCAGCAAGTGCTTACATGATAGGTATGCAGACCTGTTCAGCCTTTTTTCTTTCCAAAGGAGCAGTAAGTGGCAAAGCTGGTGCCATCACCTCAGTTCACACCTACATAACCATCACAGATAATCCCATCCTAAAGCAAGTTATTACTCATTGTGAATAAAAGTAGCATGAAAACAATTCAGTTTGATAATTAAACAAATAACTGCCTAACAATTCATGACATAACCCAAGTTCTTACTTTCCACTTGGTTACTGCTTTTTTTGGTTGTTTTTAATATGCAGTTTAACGAGCAAGTCAGTGAGACTACGTACAGCCCTGCTTCCACACGCTGTTCTGTAGCATCCATGTGCCACCTCCCCACAGATTTTGGGTAAAAAGAAACAAAACTAAATTACCCCTTCCATCTCACTGATAGCCAACCAGTAACACTGACACTCCTCTAGGAAGATCTTGAAAGGCTGGTGACTGCATGCAGGACAACAGATTTTGCTTGCCACTCAAAATGCTTAATGTCAGAATTAAGTACCTACTGCTAGGGCAGACATTCTCAGCCCATCCATAGCCACCTCTCTTTTCAAACATCTGCCTCAACTGCAATTATCACTTCTGATGAGGCAGAGAAAAGGCAATTCAGACTCTTCCTGCTATGCTGGGAAGGCACAAATTCCTGAAGAACTATTTTGTAGCAGCAAAAATACAGCCCAGGAGAAATAAAATGTTTCACATTCAGGATATCTTCCATGGCTCACACCCATGACAGGACTCGGTGCTGACCCTAGGAGATTTGAAGTCAGGCCTCTAAGGGGAACAAGGAGCATATGGAGGGGTTGGTGCTGCTTCTGTGCACAAACATCCAAGTCATTTGTGCCTCGTTTCATACTGTGACCCAATGCCACATCAGTACCATATAACCTACCAAAAATATTGCAGCAGCTAATTAAACCACTTTTTGCAAGAAGTGCCCACATTATTCCTCCAGCTGCCAGACCATACTGTCTAACATAGTTAATGAAAAAAAGTTTCCTTATTTATACTGACAACAGAATGCACTATTTAAAACACACCATAGTTACTGGGGGGAAAAAAATTTCCCCCACAGCAGTTGACAACGTCAACTGATGTCAGTGAATTAATGCTCAGATTAACAACTGGCAACTGGTCTGCTGGCCCTGACCTGGCAGCACAGGCTCTCAGCAGCACCTGATATGAACACTGCACTCTTACATGTAATCTAGATGAAACTGTTCCTTTAAACTAAATGTGTATTAAGTAGCAGGCCAAGGCTTCACTGCTCATATCCAGGCGTAAATCAAGAGAGTTATTCCCCAGGAGTTGTTAAGAGTATGCTAACGTAACTCAAGAGCAACTGTACACCAACATAACTCAAGACCAATGGTGGCTAAAATAAGGTTCAGCACATACAGACCAAACCAATTGTGAGAAAAGGACCAAGAAAATCCACTATGGCACAACCGACTCCTTCACTAAGCTCCAGAAGGAGCTGAACTAGAAGATCATTTACTTCTGAACTCTACAACCTGCATGCGCTTTAAGAGGTTCTTTGTGTCTCAGCAGTGGCTTGGGTACTGTAAGATGGTGCAGTTGCTGTGGGTGACGTTTTTCTTCTTGCTCAGGAAAGTAAATAAAAGTATGGCATACATGAATCGCCAGCTGTCTGCTCCACAGGAGTCTGCAACTTTGATTCACCCTACCTCCCACAGGCATTTTTCAAATTGTCATGAATACATGTGCTTCACACATCCAGGCCAGCCCCCTCCTTTCCAGAGGACTACACATCCCTGCCACTATCAACTAGGAAGCATTTATGAATAGAGCAGAAGAGCAAGCAGGGAGTGGAGACCCTACACGAATCCTAAGAAATAGTAACCCGTGCAAGCAAATCACAACTCTCTCAAAAGACTGTCCAGGTGATATAAAACCCTATCATTGTATATTAAATGGTGTTAATAAGTCAACAGTACATATCATCAGAAAGCACTTCATGAACAACTAACCATCAGCTGGTTGATGGTTTTGACTGCAACCACATCCGTTGCACTATGTGACAGCTCTTTGGTGCAGAACAAGTAAGAAATCACATCTGTCTGAAAGCAATGGTCTTGAAGTTCCAGAACAAAAAATGCCAGATTTTCACAAATGTCACATGCAATCCTAAACAAAGTCAATGGAAACCAGGTAGACCTACAGTATGGCTGAGATCCAAATTTGACACAATTTTAGCTTTCTCTGGGTTCTGAAATTAGCAAAGAATGATTTTTGCCTGTAAGTTAGCATCTACAATTTTCATATAGGGAGTGGACTCTTCAGATGTAAGCATGAAAAAGAACACCTTAATAATGAAGATGTGTAAAGCATCATCAAGATTCCCAAATCCTATTGAAATTTTTGTTTCAGCAGAGCTATACATAGAAAGATACACAAAGACACATTGCAATTCTTTAGCATTATCATGTCAATCTTCACAGACTTATCATGATACCTTGCTAAAAGTCTGGAATTATGACCAAGTTTCTATATTTGCCTTTACTGCAATCAATAGTCACTCCTACTCAGTAAAAAAGCCAATCTGTATAGCAGTAACTCAGACTTCCAAAGTTTCTTCATGATCACCACACTACTTCTAAATCAAATTTTGTTTAATTAAAAGCATTATGTAAAAGCAGTTTTGCTGCAGAAATTGTAAGTGTGATTGCAAATGCCTCACCCATTAACAGACTTGGGTAGAGCACACTTTGAAAAACTGCTAGATAAAATTAATCTTATCTGAAGTGCACTATCAGCAAAAAAACAACCCACATAGAAGGAAAACCACAAGGAATTGTAGAAGCCAAAATCAGACACTTGTTTTGTTTTTTAAATATATATGTATGTGTGTGTGTGTACACATATAGGTTTTTTAATTTTCACTTCACTCTACAGAATATCCTCAGTCGAAGAATGAGTTCAGGGGTGCAATTTTCTGGTAATAAAATATTAAGAAGTTCATGAGCTTCAATGCAAGAATTTACAAACAATATTATCAAACATCTGTATCACTAAAATTGGCTGACTTAATAATTACTCTTTAAAAAGTTTACCTATTTAATTTGGAAGACACTGGCAGTATCCATGGCAATGATGCTATCACACAACCGAAGGGTCATGTCAGCAGTTGCCTAATGCCTCATTTCAGAAAGACTCTGATGAAGGAACCTCACTGGATTGGGTTATTACACCCAGACCTAAGGCCCCCCAAAACAGCACAATGCCTACAAACCTTTTGATCACCACCAAAACACCACCACCAAAACACCACCCCCACAACACCCCCAACAAACACCAAAAAAGCCCCACAGTTGCCATAGATTTTACTGGCACACTGAAGTTATGACTCAGTATAAGAAAGGCATATCTTTAATTTCTTGTTCTCTTACCCCTTTTCAGAAAGATCTGTCAGCCCTGGCAACCTACAGCTTTGTCTTGAAATCAGAACTCAGCCTCATGGTTATATCTGGGGGTTTTTGCCTGGGAAGTCCAAAACAAACACAACAGCTTAAAGAGGCAAAAGACAAGGACAGAGATGCGGGCTTACGCCATGGATTTGTCAGGAAAATGAAGGAGAAGTTGGGGTAGACCTGCACCTTTCAGCAGCTAACCATTAACTGAGCTTATCTGTACAAAGCAGCCAGGCTAAATCTTCGGTCACTAACCAACTTTAACCAACACAGAGAAGTGGTAGATGTTCGCCATCCCTGGAAACATTCAAGGGTGTGATCAGGCAAGGATCTGGCATCAAAACTAAATGATGAGCAGCTGAAGGTGGTAATTTCTTTAGCAAAAAGAGGCTACATGTCAGGGATAACATGAATCACAGGCTTATAGTGACAACTGGTTTCACCATTTCAGGTAGGAGGGATGTAACACCAGAATATAAACAATAGCGTGCTCCTTCCTCCAGCGCTACTGCTGCCGTGGCTGCAGTTTTGAACAAATAAGGCTCTAGCACTTGGACAGAAGATTTATCCTTCTTCCAGGAAAGTAATACAGAACAGAGAAAAAAATCCCCACCAAAACACAACTAAAACAAGTACTGAACATGTTATTTCACTATGCCAGGTGCTGCAGAGACTAACTTTTACAGGCCAGAGGTGAAAAAGCCACAGTACTCCAGCAGTCATCTGTTCTTTGCAGTGGGCTTCAGCAGATTCCTCCAGCTTATTCAGACAGCTACTTTAATCATAGAATCATAGAATGGTTAGGGTTGGAAAGGACCTTAAGATCATCTAGTTCCAACCCCCCTGCCATGGGCAGGGACACCTTACACTA